ACAGTTATAGACAATGCTTACAAAAAAATAACAAACAATAAAGAGTTAATACCTATCCTGGTGAAAATATTCCAAAAAAATGAAGAGGAATGCTTCCAAAACCATTAAAGGAGATCAATATTACCCTGATCCCAAAACCAGGGGAAGACGCCACAAAAAAGGAAAATTATAGGCCAGTATTCCTGATGAACACAAACGCAAAAAATCCTCAAAAACTATTAGCAAATGAAATTCAGTGATACATTAAAAGGATCATCACCATGATCAAGTGGGATTTTTTCCAGAGATGCAAGGATTGCTCAGCATTCACAAATGAATCACAGTAATACACCATACTAACCAAAAAGGATAAAAACCATATTTTCATCTGAATAGATGCAGAAAAAAGCATTTGATAAAATTCATCTATTATTTTTGATAAAAACTCTCAACAATGTGGGTATAGAAGGAACGTAGCTCAACATATTAAAAGACATATATGACAAAGCAACAGTTAACATCAGACTAAACAGGGAAAAGATGAAAGCTTTTCCTCTAAGATCAGGAACAAGACAAGGATGCCCACTATTGCCACTTTTATTCAACATAGTATTGGAAGTTGTAGCCATAGCACCAGGGAAGAAAAATAAATTTTAAAAAATCTAAGTGGAAATAACAAGTAAAACTGTCACTATTTGCAGAAAACATATTTATATAGCTAACAGACACATGAAAAAATGTTCTTCATTAGCCATCAGGGAAATTCAAATCAAAACCACATTGAGATACCACCTTACACCAGTTAGAATGGCAAAGATTGACAAAGCAAGAAACAACAAATGTTGGAGAGGTTGTGGAGAAAGGGGAACCCTCTTACACTGTTGGTGGGAATGCAAGCTGGTACAGCCACTTTGGAAAAAAGTATGGAGGTTTCTAAAAAGTTAAAAATAGAGCTACCCTATGACCCAGCAATTACACTACTGGGTATTTACCCCAAAGATACAGATGTAGTGAAAAGAAGGGCCATATGCACCCCAATGTTCATAGCAACAATGTCCGCAATAGCCAAACTGTGGAAGGAGCTGAGATGCCCTTCAACAGACAAATGGATAAAGAAGATGTGGTCCATATATACAATGGAATATTACTCAACCATCAGAAAGGATGAATACCCAACTTTTGCAGCAACATGGATGGAACTGGGGGAGATTATGCTAAGTGAAATAAGTCAAGCAGAGAAAGTCAATTACCATAAGGTTTCACTTATTTGTGGAACATAAGGAATAGCATGGAGGACAGTAGGAGAAGGAAGGGAAAAATGAAGGGGGTGGGGAATCAGAGGGGAAGATGAACCATGAGAGACTATGGACTCCAGGAAACAAACTGAGGGTTTTAGAGGGGAGGCGGGGAGGGGGATGAGTTAGCCCGGTGATGGGTATTAAGGAGGGCACTTATTGCATGGAACAATGGGTGTTACATGCAAACAATGAATCATAGAACACTACATCAAAAACTAATGATGTACTGTATGGTGACTAACATAATAAAAAAAAAAAGAAAACTGTACCAACTCTACCAAAAAAACCCTATCAGAACTAATAAATGAATTCAGTAAGGTTGTAGGATACAAAATTAATATACATAAATCTATGGCAATTCAGTCAGCTCTTGGACATCAGTTACTGATAGGGGTTAGTATACAAAATATACAAAGAACTCACAAACTCATCATCAAAAACAAATGAAAAATCAATCCCGTAAAAAAAAGAAAAATAGGCAGAGGACTGGAATAGACATGTTTCCAAAGAAGACATAAAGATAGCCAACAGACACATGAAAAGATGCTTAACATCACTAATCATCAAGGAAATACAAATCAAAACCACAACGAAATATCACCTCACACCTGTCAGAATGCCTAGTATCAAAAAAGACAAGAAATAGTAAGTGCTGGGGCACATGGCTAGCTCAGTCAGTAGAACATGTGACTCTTGATCTTGGGGTCATGAATTCAAGCCCCATTGGGCATAGAGCTTACTTAAAAAAAAGAAAGCAACTATAGGTTAGGATGTGGAGCATAGAGACCCTTGATCACTGTTGGTGGGAATGTAATTGGCACATCCATTATGGAAGGTAGTATGGTAGTTACTCAAAAAATTAATAATAAAACTGCCATGCAATCCAGCAATTCCATTTCTGGGTATTTATATGAAGAAAATGAAAACACTAATTCAAAAATTATTGAAGTTAATTGCAGAATTATTTATAATAGCCAAGATACAGAAGCAATCTAACTGTCCATTAATAGAAGAAAGGATCAAGTAAATGTAAATATTTACAATGGAATAGCACTAAGCCAAAAGAAAAAAAAATAAAATCTTGCCATTTGTGACAACATGGATGGACCTAGAGAGTATTACCCTAAGTGAAATAAGCCAGACAAGGAAAGAAAATTCTGTATAATTTCACTTAAATGTGTATATAAAAAACAAAACAAACAAAACAGAAATAGACTCATAGATACAAAGATAATCTGATGATTGTCAGAGAGGAGGGGCATGGGGCAATGGGCTAAATAGAAGGGGATTAAAAGGTACCAACTTTCAGTTTCAAAATAAATAGGACATGGGAATACAATGCACAGTACAGGCAATATAGTTAATAATATGTAACAATTTTGTATGGTGACATATGGCAGCTAGATTTATCTTGGTGATCATTTCACAATGTATATATAAATACTGAATCACTATGTTGTACACCTGAAACTAATATAAAATTGTATGTCATTTTACTTTAGTAAAAAAGAAAATAATAAAAATTAAATAAAAAGTCTCCAGGTAAATTCAAAGTACAATCAAAGTTGAAAATTACTGTCCAGAGACAGAATTCTCACTCTTTCCCCTATTAGTTACATAATCTCAGACAAAAACTCTGGCCACTCTGTGCCTCAGATTATTCCCCTGTAAATTTTAGAATGATGAGGATGATAGTTTAATATTACTTTACTGAGTTGTAGGCAGGACTAAAAATAGTTTAATATACAGAAAAGAACTATAATAGCTTTGTTGTGGGCTGAATGTTTGTACCCCTACAAAATTCATGTATTGATATCCTTACCTCCAATATGATGGCCTTAGGAAGTAGGGGGGTCATGGAAGATAATTAGATTTGGAAACTGAAAGCCTCATGAATGGGATTAGTGCCTTTAGAAGAAGAGACACACACAAAAAAAAAATAGAGTAAGAGACACAAGAGACTTTTCTTTCTCCCTCATCTCTACCTTGGAAGACAGAAGAAGAAATCAGCCCTCTGCACAAAAGGAACTGGGACATCAACAGACACGTAAACTGTACACCTTGGAAGTGGACATCCCAGACTCCAGAACTGTAAGAAATAAGTTTGTTGCTTAAACAAAACACTTCATTCCTTTTTATGAATTAGTAATATTCCATAGCATGAATATACTGTTTTTGTTTGTCTCTTCATTCCTTGATGAGCATTTGTGTTGTTTCCACCTTTAGCTATTGTGAATAGTGCAGCTATGTACTTGCGTTCAAGTACATTTTTCAGTATCTGCTTTCAATTTTGGGGGATATGTACCTAGGAATAGAATTGCTGAGTTGAATAGAAGAATTTTAAGGAGTGCTCTTGAATGACTTTTCTTCCTATGTGCTTTTCTTTCTTTTCCTCTCCCTTCCTTTCCTTTCCCATCCTATCCATTCAGCTTTGGCTCTGAGGCCCACCACAAGGACCCTACAGCCCAGCCCACTCTCAGGGGCGTGTGGTCAGCACAGTAATGTTCCAGATGGAAAAGAAGTTGCCAGGCAAGCCATGCCCACATACCATCCTTGAACTGTCACTGAAAAGCCCCATCCAGGAAAAACAGTTGGTACAGTTAAAGACAGTTGGAATGAGCCCCAGGAAGCAGGAAGTTCTGAGAGTTTTGTTTTGTTTTGCTTTTGCCCTTCTCAGGAGAAATTCAGGAGAAATTCAGACTTGAAGGTAAAATCTGCCTATTTTTAAAGTTGGATCTGAACTTTTTAAACCCATAAAGGGCAAACAAAATAAGTCTCTGGACAGGATGCAGCTAAATAGTCGACAGTTTAATTTCCTTTGGAGTGAGAGAGAGGTGGAGTCAGCTGTTTTGTGATTGAGAAACTAAAATGAGGGCCCTGGGGAAGGGACAGAGCAGTTTATTTAAAAAGAGCCACCAGGCATGTTGTGGGAATCATGCCAAAGCCTGGAGGCAATGTCCAGAGTGGAGAGCCCATCAGGCCCCTTGCTCCTGGGGCTGTCTGCTTCAGCAGCTTCCTCTCTCCTGTGGAATTTTGTACCTCGCTGCTCGGTGCCAACAGTGAAGGAGTTGACTCTTGTCATTATCGCTCCTGGGACCCTCCCCACTAAGCCTCTTTCCAACATGATGGAACTTCCTTCAGGAATTCCCTTAAACACTGCAGACAGTGCAACTTAGCTTCCCTGGACATTTGGGATTATTAGAGAATTTCTGACCAGTTAATGCCGGAGGAGCAGGAAATATGAACTTGCTGCCTATAGGGCTAACTGAGCCCTTTGGGACACAGCATGTTGGGGACAGAGGAGGTGGACATCACTGTTTCAATTATCCAAAAGGGAAATCCCTGAAACATTCATTATACACATTAGCTTTTATACACTTCTTTAATCCACACAACAACCCTTTTAAGTAAACTCTCTTATTACATCCATTTTACTGATGGACAAACTGACTTTTAGAGATGCAGAGTGACCTGCCCAAGTCCTCACAGCTAGGATTCGATGTGGCTGTGACTATAACCCCTATAACCCAGGCAGTTTGAATCAAGGGCCCGTTTCTTATATGCTGTATAGTAGTTACAGCATCAGGATTCAAAGTATGTGTTAATCAAACTTTCTGAACCACCATAGGACCTGAAATTCAAGAGAGCTCAGTATCTAATCCTCTGGATACACATTTAAGATAGGATTAAGCCCCAATTTCAAAGCATAAACAAGTCACTTACCGAGGTCCACTAGGCCTCACAACCAGGAACCAAGCTGATAGCAGTCCTCCCACTTCCAGCACCAGTACAAGAAGTGCCCTTCCTGTCTTTCCAAACTGCTCCACCCCCTAGAGTTGAGTTAAAATCGCCCAGAGATCTCTGGGAAATGTAGTTTTGGGTTCTTACATTGTGCTTGTATGCCTCTTCTTCAAGTCTATTTATTGAAAAAGAGCGGAGAGCTGTATTATCTGATGAGCCCTGGTCACAGGCTGTGAGGGGTACGATGTGTTTGACACAGTTCCTGCTCTTTATGGAGCCCAAAGCCAGATGTCCTATGTGTAATGTGGGAGGTGAGAGTTTTGATGGGGTCCAGAAAAAGCAGATCTATTAACCTAGAGGAGGCAGAAAATAGATGTTTAAAATCACTCTCCTCAGTTTATGACACCCTTTCTTCATCAAGTTCTGTGAGGCCGCTCAGTTTCTATATTTCTTTTTTTCATCCCCCATCTTTCAGTCCCATTCATCACTGCACCTCAAGGCACTGTGTAGTGTTTCTGAAATGTGTCCACATATGTGGTATGAATGTGATGTATGTAATGTGGCTTTGTTTCTGCTTGTGTTTTAAATTTACGTTAATGATATTGGTCTATAATTCTGTTTCTTATGCATTTCCCTCTACCCTATCTCTTAAAATCTGTCTGCATGACACAATTGTTGCTTTGTGCTCTCCCTTTGGTACTAATTCATGCCTCTGGTGTCCTGCTGCACGAACTTGGGACTCTACCTGGAGGTTTTCTCTTAGCCTGTGCTGTGCAGGCTAGATGGACAGAGATGGGTGTAATTTAATGTACCTGGCACCACCACTCAGCCAGCCTGATGGGAACTGGAGGATAAATACCCTTGTGTTCTACCCACTTGGGTAAGATTACTCAGGGGCATAGATAACACTGCCTTCCAGGGTTTTCCAGTGGGATTAAGCTCTCTTTGTCCACAGAAGTAACCTGCCATAATGTACCCTTTATTTATTCTTACACTGCCTCTGCCTCACTTTCCCCCTCCCACACTGGTGCTTCCTTAAATCATCTCCCAAATAAGCTACTTGAATGCAAATCCTTCTTTCAGGATCTGGTTTTAGAGGAAACCAACCTAAGACCATTTAGCTTGTCAGTCCCACTTGTGAAGGACAATTGAGTTGCCTCTAATTCCTGGTTACTACAAACACCACTGTGATGAGTACTTTCTAATGTGCCCTGTAGATAGACATGAGAACTTTGCTTGGATATACATTAGGAACGGAGTGTTCTGGGGACAGGACATACTTATACTTAACTTCACTGATCATTATTGTCCTCCTGGGTAGGAAAATTCCCATCTTCTTCATATCCTGATTGACACTTTATGTTAGCAATATCCAAATGTCTGCTGAACTTATATGACTAGGGTGATAGCTTAGTGTTTTCATTTTGTTTAATTTTTTATTGTTATGTTAATCACCATACATTACATCATTAGTTTTTGATGTAGTGTTCCATGATTCATTGTTTGTGCATAACACCCAGTGCTCCATGCAGAATGTGCCCTCTTTAATACCCATCACCAGGCTAACCCATCCTCCCACCCCCCTCCTTTCTAGAACCCTCAGATTGTTTTTCAGAGTCCATGGTCTCTCATGGTTCATCTCCCCCTCCAATTTCCCCCTCTTCTTTCTTCCCCTCATGCTATCTTCTTCCTTTTTCTTTTTTTTTTCTTAGCATATATTGCATTATTTGTTTCAGAGGTACAGATCTGTGTGATTCAACAGTCTTGCACAATTCACAGTGCTCACCATAGCACATACCCTCCCCAATGTCTCTCACCCAGCCACCCCATCCCTCCCACCACACCCACTCTACAGCAACACTCAGTTTGTTTCCTGAGATTAAGAATTCCTCATATCAGTAAGGTCATATGATACATGTCTTTCTCTGATTGACTTATTTCACTCAGCATAACACCCTCCAGTTCCATCCACGTCATTGCAAATGGCAAGATCTCATTCATTTTGATGGCTGCATAATATTCCATTGTGTATATATACCACATCTTCTTTACCCATTCATCTGTCGATAGACATCTTGGCTCTTTCCACAGTTTGGCTATTGTGGACATTGCTGCTGTAAACATCAGGATGCATGTACCCCTTCGGATCTCTACATTTGTATCTTTGGAGTAAATACCCAGTAGTGCAATTGTTGGATCATATGGTAGCTTAATTTTCAACTTTTTGAGGAACCTTCATACTATTTTCCAGAGTGGCTGCACCAGCTTGCATTCCCACCAACAGTGTAGGAGGGTTCCCCCTTCTCCACATCCCTGCCAACATCTGTCGTTTCCTGACTTGTTAATTTTAGCCATTCTGACTGGTGTGAGGTGGTATCTCATTGAGGTTTTGATTTGGATTTCCCTGATGCTGAGCGATGTTGAGCACTTTTTCATGTGTCCATTGTCCATTTGGAGGTCTTCTTCGCAGAAATGTCTGTTTATGTCTTCTGCCCATTTCTTGATTGGATTATTTGTTCTTTGGGTGTTGAGTTTGATAACTTCTTTATAGATTTTGGATACTAGCCCTTTATCTGATATGTCATTTGCAAATATCTTCTTCCATTCTGTCGGTTGTCTTTTGGTTTTGTTGACTGTTTCTTTTGCTGTGCAAAAGCTTTTTATCTTGATGAAGTCCCAATAGTTCATTTTTGCCCTTGCTTCCCTTGCCTTTGGCGAGGAAGAACTTAGGAAGAAGTTGCTGTGGCTGAGGTCGAAGAGGTTGCTGCCTGTGTTCCCCTTTAGGATTTTGATGGACTCCTGTCTCACATTGAGGTCTTTCAACCATTTTGAGTCTGTTTTTGTGTGTGGTGCAAGGAAATGGTCCAGTTTCATTCTTCTGCATGTGACTGTCCAATTTTCCCAACACCATTTGTTGAAGAGACTGTCTTTTTGCCATTGGACATTCTTTCCTGCTTTGTCAAAGATGAGTTGGCCATAGACTTGAGGGTCCATTTCTGGGCTCTCTATTCAGTTCCATTGATCGATGTGTCTGTTTTTGTGCCAGTACCATACTGTCTTGATGATGACAGTTTTGTAATAGAGCTGGAAGTCCAGAATTGTGATGCTGCCAGCTTTGCTTTTCTTTTTCAACATTCCTCTGGCTATTCAGGGTCTTTTCTGGTTCCATACAAATTTTAGGATTATTTGTTCCATTTCTTTGAAAGTAGTTGATGGTATTTTGATGGGGATTGCATTAAATATGTAGATTGCTCTAGGTAGCATTGACATCTTCACAATATTGGTATTCCAATCCATGAGCATGGAACGTTTTTCCATTTCTTTGTGTCTTCTTCAATTTCTTTCATGAGTATTTTATAGTTTTCTGAGTACAGATTCTTTGCCTCTTTGGTTAGATGTATTCCTAGGTATCTTATAGTTTTGGGCGCAATTGTAAATGGGATCAATTCCTTAATTTCTCTTTCTTCTGTTTTGTTGTTGGTGTATAGGAATGCCACCGATTTCTGTGCATTGACTTTATATCCTGCCACTTTACTGAATTCCTGTATGAGTTCTAGCAGTTTTTGGGTGGAGTCTTTTGGGTTTTCCACATAAAGTATATCATCTGCAAAGAGTGAGAGTTTGACTTCTTCTTTGCCGATTTGGATGACTTTGATTTCTTTTTGTTGTCCGATTGCTGTGGCTGGGACTTTTAATACTATGTTGTATAGCAGTGGTGATAGTGGACATCCCTGCCATGTTCCTGACCATAGGGGGAAAGCTCTCAGTTTTTCCCCATTGAGAATGATATTCGCTGTAGGTTTTTCATAGATGGCTTTTATGATATTGAGGTATGTACCCTCTATCCCTATAATCTGAAGAGTTTTGATCAAGAAGGGATGCTGTACTTTGTGAATTGCTTTTTCTGCACCTATTTAGAAGATCATATGATTCTTGTTCTTTCTTTTGTTAATGTATTGTACCACGTTGATTGATTTGCGGATGTTGAGCCAAACTTGCAGCCCAGGGATAAATCCCACTTGGTCGTGGTGAATAATCCTTTTAATGTACTGTTGGATCCTATTGGCTAGTATTTTGGTGAGAATTTTTGCATCCATGTTCATCAAGGATATTGGTCTGTAATTCTCCTTTTGGATGGGGTCTTTGTCTGGTTTTGGGATCTAGGTAATGGTGGCCTCATAAAACAAGTTTGGAAGTTTTCCTTCCATTTCTATTTTTTTGGAACAGTTTCAGAAGAATAGATATTAATTCTTCTTTAAATGTTTGGTAGAATTCCCCTGGGAAACCATCTGGCCCCAGGCTTTTGTTTGTTGGGAGATTTTTGATGACCTCTTCTATTTCCTTAGTGGTTATAGGTCTGCTCAGGTTTTCTATTTCTTCTGGGTTCAGTTTTGGTAGTTGATACATCTCTAGGAATGCAACCATTTCTTCCAGATAGTCTAATTTGATGGCATATAGTTGCTCATAATATGTTCTTATAATTGTTTCTATTTCTTTGGTTGGTTGTGATCTCTCTTCTTTCATTCATGATTTTGTTGATTTGGGTCCTTTCTCTTTTCTTTTTGATAAGTCTGGCCAGGGCTTTATCAATCTTGTTAATTCTTTCAAAGAACGAGCTCCTGGTTTCGTTGATTTGTGGTACTGTTCTTTTGGTTTCTATTTCATTGATTTCTGCTCTGATCCTTATTATTTCTCTTCTCCTGCTGGGTTTAGGCTTTATTTGCTGTTCTTTCTCCAGCTCCTTGAGGTGTAGGGTTAGGGTGTGTATTTGTGACCTTTCTTGTTTCTTGAGAAAGGCTTGTATTGCTATATTCTTTCCTCTTAGTACTGCCTTTGTTGCATCCCAAAGATTTTGCACGGTTCTGTTTTCATTTTCATTGGTTTCCATGAATTTTTTTTAATTCTTCTTTAATTTCCTGGTCGATCCATTCATTCTTTAGTAGGATGCTCTTTAGCTTCCATGTATTTGAGTTCTTTCCGACTTTCCTCTTGTGATTGAGTTCTAGTTTCAAAACATTGTGGTCTGAAAATATGCAGGGAATGAT